ATAGATAGATAGATAGATAGATAGATAGAGATAGATAGATAGATAGATAGATAGATAGATAGATAGATAGATAGATAGATAGATAGATAGAGATAGAGAGATAGATAGATAGATAGATAGATAGATAGATAGATAGATAGATAGATAGATAGATAGATAGATAGATAGATAGATAGATAGATAGATAGATAGATAGATAGATAGATAGATAGATAGATAGATAGATAGATAGATAGATAGATAGATAGATAGATAGATAGATAGATAGAAGATAGATAGATAGATAGATAGATAGATAGAGATAGATAGATAGATAGATAGATAGATAGATAGATAGATAGATAGATAGATAGATAGATAGATAGATAGATAGATAGATAGATAGATAGATAGATAGATAGAGAGATAGATAGATAGATAGATAGAGAGCTCTATTTAATGTATATTCTAACGGGAACTCTGTTATCAGTATGTCAGTGGTCTAAAATGGTCTTACAACAGTGCCGACAATATTATCGTTTATCGTAATAATTTCTGGGAAAATGTATCGTCCAACAAAATGTATTATCGTGACAGGCCTACTTGTAACAAGAAAGTCTTAAAAAGTTGTAAAATTCAACCCACAGAATAATGTTTTAACAAACATTTTCATCTTCCCCTTCTTGGGAGGTAAGAACTCTTTGTTCCTACTATTCATCTCTGACATTGCTTCATCTGTGCTTTGTGATAGATCAAGGGTCCCAAGATGCAACTGCTCACTAAATTGGTATTGGCTAGTTAGAAAACAACAATTAAAATGCCCTCTTTTAACCTGTTAAGCCCTGAGCCTGTTTTTCAGGCCTCAGGCTCGAAAATGACATTCCCAAAACAAATGACTATAACTTCACTACTAAAAGGGGTAAATTAATAATCTTTTTTCTCAAAGCAATGATAAACCTGTGAGTTGGATGTAGAAAAGTCAGAATCAATATAGAATTTTTTTCTTTTAAAGTAAATTCAGATTGAACATAGTAAAAAAAAAAATGATAGTGTCCGTCCAAAAGAAAACCCATTACTTATAGTGTAAACCACCCTTGAATGATGGGATCGAAGACTAAAAGCTTTAGGAATCCAAACTATAACATATAATAAGTACCCTATATCAAGATTGATGCAAAACAAGTGACATTTGACCTTTTTAGAGAGGTTTAGCAAAACAAAAAAAACACTTCTGGGGTTATTTGGGTGGATTTTCAATATCTCTGGCCCCCCTCAGTGGAATTTGATGATTGACACCTCTTTTTAACCGTTAGAGCCAATAGAATCGAGGGGAAGTTCCTAAAATCCATCGAAACCAGGGCTCTCCAACACGTCGATCGCGAGCTACCGGTAGCTCGCGGGCAGCTTTTCAGTAGCTCGCCGCTCGATTATCGATTATAGCGTATGGTTGCTTATTGATTTTTCGGCCGCGGCTGGACAATAACGTTTTTTTATTTTAGAATGTTTTCTGTCACACGAATATCAAATTGGTCGGTGATGCAGAGATCAAGGAACAGACGTGACAGCAGCACAGCGACAACACACACGGAGCAGTCTGCTTTCTCCACCAGCACCAGTCCAGAACCAACAGCAGAATGACCCGCTCTGAATCAGGCCCTGTCGCTGCGGCTCAGAGACACACAGGGAGGGATTTGTGTTTTTTGAAAAACACTTGTTATCGTCATATCAGGTTTTTGGTGGATTTAATCAAGTCTTGGATTGCAGAGTATGAATGTCCTCTTGCTATTTTCAGTTGATAAATACTTGTGTAAAGTTTGTGAAGGCAGGAGGAAAGCTTCCGCGATCACCGTCTCCTCTGTTCCTCCAAACCCCGCCCCCTCCCTGAAAATAATGAGTGACAGGCTGATAGTGACCCGATAGAAACTTTATTATTCACTTAATCAATGATTGAGATATGATGAAGCTAACTTAATCTCATACATTCATGGGATTTATGTAACAGTAAGACAGAGAATGTAAGTGTGCACCCACATGCACTATTTTTGTTTTTATAATGCTGTTGTAAATACTCCTGTTGTCTGCTGTGTTCAGACTTAAGTCCTGTGTGTGATGCCACATTCAAGACATTCAGTGTCTTTTTTTTTTTAACAGAAGACCGTTGCTAGAAGCTGCAGCTAGACTGCAGAAGTATTAGTTTTTTGTTTTTGAGGATGGAACCATTTTCACACACAGATATAGGGAGGCTAGACCTATACAATTGATTTATTATGGTTTATAATTTAATGTCAAGACGAAGAAGAAGAAGAAAAAGATGGCTGAACAACTGTTCAGTGTCAATCCTGTGGGGATCTCCAAAATAATGTTCAGCTTAAGTCTCAGCAAAACTCACAACATTTCTGGAGCCTTGTAGACCCAGAAAACTATAGAACATTCACCAAGCAGCACTGAAAATGTCTGCTTTATTTGGTTCTGTTCTACATACCTTTGTGAAGCAGCTTTTTCTGACATGAATGTCATGAAATCTAAATACAGAACAATACTGACTGATGAACATTTAAATGACTATTAGTGTGAACCTAAGTGGGTCCAGCATACACCTCTATGGTGGACTCCATGCAGTGCCATTCGTCTCACTAACAAAAGAGTGAAATGCTTGTAAGGTGGTGATTAAGGACATTTATGTGAATTTTCAGTGATGTACTTATTATGTGGGCCATGTGAATAAATGTAAGCGATGTGATGCAAGTAGCTCTTGGCCACTTTCATTTTTTGAAAGTAGCTCTCAGATGAAGAAAGGTTGGAGACCCCTGATCTAAACATTACCCATTGGTGAATGAGTGATGCGTAGCCAGAATGCCCAAAACCGGAAGCTGTCATACACTCTCGTAGCAGCTAATATGAAAACTCCGTTATTGACATAAATGTGATGACGGATTATCAGTAATCATTTCAAAGTGACAGACACATTGGATTAACCTATGGATTAACCTTCAGCAGCGTTGTTGTCGTTTTAATGCCATTGAACACAACTTTTGATCAGAAACAGCAAAAGGTAAGATATCTCTCGTGTTTGCTCCGTAAAGCTACGTTGTGTGATGTCTGGGTTTGCTTCCCCTGCCGCAAGTTTTGATCGCTTATATTTCTGGAACCTGTGGAATCTCAGCTTGCTAGCTGATATCTTGTTTGTGCAGATCCGATAAGTAATAAGGTTATGTTAACGTGAGTTCTGTGCTAAGTGCGTTAGCCTTTTTTCGCTCAGGGCTAATTCAGAGCCTTTGTTATTACCCATTACATTACATTACATTACATTACATGTCACTTGTTAGACGCTTTTATCCAAAGCGACTTACATACTCAATACTGTGGACAATCCCCACAGGAGCAATTTGGGGTGAAGTGTCTTGCACAGGGACACAACGACATGCTGAATGCAGTGGGGTTTGAACCTGTGACCCCCTGATCCGAACACCAACGCACAACCCACTGCACCACACGCCTACCCTTGTGTTTTGTTTAGCTAAAAATGGTTAAAATTGTCTGATAGCTGATTTTCTTCCCATTAAGTGGGTATGACACATTCATAGTTTGTTAAATGTTAAGAAGCCCTCAGACGCTGTTTCTTGCAAGATGTTGCCCCACCGGGTACCGGGGGCATGGGGCTTAACTGGTTAACTAGAATGGCTCCAATAATTTAGGCCAGTACAATTTATCCTAAACTGTGTTATGCAATTGAAGTGTCCTTCTAAATCTAGATGGCTATGCCACAGAAAGGCAGTCCATATTAGAGTTCCCATGCCTTTCATTTAATGGAGTTTCACAACTGCATAGTGTTTAGCTAGTGCTACAAAAAAGAAACCTAAAAAAATCGCACATCAATCGAAGCTACTTCTAGGCCCAAGAAACTAAGCCTCTATTGTTAATATAAGTTAAACGCAAACATAACGCACTAAAGATATTTATGTCTAATACACACAATACATTATTTTATTTAGTCTTTATTTATACAGGTGTAAAATCTCATTGAGACACAAGGTCTCATTTCCAAGAGAGACCTGAAATATCAAATTAGTGTGAGATTTCATGCCATCAAACTTAAGCCCCTTAGGGGAGCTTAAAATGTTCTCACTATAGAGTGGTGCAGTGATGCATCCTAAATTATTTAGGTTCAGATAGCCCTAGCTATGCTCAATTCCAGGTCTGCCAACAAAATATGTAATCACTGCACAACTATATTACGATGTATGTTATGGAGTTAGTGCAAAATATGTCCACACTCTATTGACAATCTATTGACATTCTATTGACATATGACACCTGTTTGCACTTCCTCTCTCGTACCGTTTTTCCTAAGGACATGAGAAACCTTCACCATTCACTCAGGCATTGCTCTCAGTGTATGCTAAAAATAATTGTATCAATTTTATAAATCTGTATGGGAACACAAACTTTGTTCACAAGCACAAAAATAAATGTAGTCAAGTAACTGGATATTTGCAGGTATGCACCTGTATTTGTTTACATATCCTGGGGAGTAAATTGAAAGATACACAGACGGTTTACTCATTCAGTACCATCATAATTGTTAACTATGAACGATATTTTAACAAATATTACTGGATACAGAACCTTCCTTAGCAGCAAAGGTCAATAGTTTATCACATGTGGCAGTTAAAACTATGAAGTGTAGTTATGTGGTAAATATATTACCGTGATTATATATCATAATGTAAATAGGAATATAGTCAAAATGATATGCAGCAATTAAGATTAGTTCCTGCATTAATCATATTATTTGATAGGACAGTAGCAAAGGACGTCCTGTATAAACACTGCAAAAATACCATAGCCTATAGCTTATGTTGATGATAGTTAAAACTGAGTTTAAAGTCAGTACTAGGTTTAAACGATCCTTCTCTCTCAAGGTAACGTGTGTCACATTGGGGAGGGGGAGAAGACAACATGTCCTCCCCGCCCCTCATCTGTCAGATTTTACGTAAAGCTAGCATTAAACTTGAACTCACCTGTCCAAATTCTGCTGCGAGACCACCGCACCCTGTTCCGCCATTATCGCAGAAGGGCAACAAATACCTCAATGCTGTCTTGTAGGCTGAGCAGATTAACTGGGCTACAGTAAAAACATTCAAATGGCACGCCTGTTAGTTTGCTAACAGCTGAGGTTGGCGTTAAAGCTAACTAGCTGGTGAACTAATGCTAACAAGCTACATAGGCCTTTGTGTTGACACGGCGAGTCAGCTGCACACGAGCCAATTACTGCGCATAAACCTATGCTTCTGCGGTCATAGTAGTCTGATACCATGTATCTGCACCCGGTGCAATATCACGCTTTTAATAAATCCACTTTGAATCCGCTACGGCCCCGTTTGTCCCTAACATTATCGTTTTGGCGTGACCGCATTACTCCATTAACTGCCGTCTCTGAGGTGACGCAAAATAGTTCTGCTGTGCGTGATGGCGTCATCAAAACAAGGACGGCACCGCAAAGGGCATCATTCCACGTGCATGGGAAATGTAGTTTCATAATGCCTCCATCCGTTTAAAGCATAATTTTAAAACCCACATCAAATCCATGTTGTCAAATCCACTCCCGGCAGATGTGCAGAAGAGACACCACGACTTATGGAAGATACAACTATCATGAAGATGCAAATATGGCTACAAAACACTTTTAATAGAGGTAATATGTTTTATTTAGGCAGCATTATTTTTGTCCCATTTGCTTGTCTTTAACTTAATATAAAAGTGAGGACTATTCATTCAATTTTTTTCTGCTGAATGTATGAAAACAATTCATATTGATCTTATTTGTAATGCTAATGTTAGATAGCAAACTAACCATACAGAGAGATAAATAAATAAAGAGACAAAGACACTGTTTTTATCAATCTTTACTATTTTGTTGCTTCAACAAGTCATCTTGTATAACCTCACCTAAAAGTCAACTTTGAAACTGATATGTTTTACACAGCAGTCAAGAGAAAAAGCCACTGCCACTGCATAGTGGAAAACTACAACTCCCTACAGCCTGTGCGGCATCACCCATGCGCCGCAGTCAATCAGCTGTTGAGGCAACTGCTGACTATCTCGGCACAAGGGTAGCTCGTTTGTCAGACTAAACCCAGACGAGGCAAACAGAAATATCTTTATTTACAGAGTCCCCAAAAGGTGAACGATAAAGGTAATTCAAATTTAAGAAGATCAACAACCACTATCTTTGTGTGCATGCTGTTTTGTCGTTTGTGTAGAGGGGACATACCACGGATTAAAGGGGAGATATCATGGCAGGACATATTCATGAAATGTATCGGATGGCACGATAAACAGGCGTTGGAAGGGTCAGGATTTGGCCGTGTGTGTGGTTTAAAGGGCCGGTGCTGATTATGCTGCTTTCATGACCTTGGAAGCGCAGCTCTTGGAGGAGAAAAACACGGATTAACCATAGGGTGTGTACAATGCTGGATATTGCGACTATCTTGAAAGCCAAACTTGTGAAATGATCCGACATGTCATCTGGACTGTCATTGTGAAAGTCTACAGTCCTCTGCATTCATGTTATTGGGAGGCCTCGGTGCTGTCTGCATGCTAGCTCTCCTGCAGTCACGGTTCCGAAGATTCATCAGTGTTATTGTGGGTGTACAATTAATTATGAGTTTTAATTTAGTATGATTTCAACGTTGGGTGATTTGACTATGGGTATGGTTGTGCCTCGATGTGCTGACATCTGACATGTGTTCAATTCCTCAGCCTTTGATCCGGCATATTGTGGTCTATTTGCATTTTCTCCTACTGCACTGTTGGGTTTAATAATGTGGTTTTCTGAATGCAAAATTGACGTCCTGATAATATTCCAGGGTGTGCGTTAAGTGGCAAGGCGTTGTCTCTGAAATGCAAAGTAAAGGCTGCGTTAAAGGGTTCAATATATATAGTGTGTAACTTTGAATATTCGATACACACAGCTTTCAGTCATTTTCCAGCATTGCCTATAAGTTATTCAGATGCAAGTGGGTACATCTTGTATAATGCTTACTCGTTGCTGTGTCAATGCGGACCTCAGGGAGAGTCCCTCTTTGCGCTATAATAAAACCCCTGACTATTAATCATATCATTGATGTATGGACTTTTTTTATTGAGTATTAGGTTACCAGGTTAAATTGTATTTTTTCATCGTGTTAAAAATAGCATAGCCTAAGACTGACATGTTTTAATTGTAATGGTAACATGAGACATCTTTGCGGTATAATAAAGCGGCTCAGGTGCGTCATTTCCCACTGCGTAAAAAGGGGCGAAGTGTGCCATTTGGTTGAAGTCGGTGTATTTTATTATAACAGCTCTGTGGTCGCGTGTGTCGAGGTGCCTGGGTCACCCTGCCTTGTTTGAAGGACAGCTGTATTAACTGACGTATGTAAATGAATATAGGGGAGGTCCTTGGGTGAAAAACACACACACTGAATCAGTTTGCAACTCCGGAGTTCCTGCGTGGAAGGAAAAAACGAGACGTGGCGAAATCTGGTGAATATCTGCAGCAGCTGTATGCTCCGTGTGTCATTTGTGGCGATCATTATGGTATAGCCTCGGGAAGTGTGTTTTCCTCTACTTCGGTTCGGATAAATGGGTGATCACGCGTTTACGTCGCCTGCTCCCTCTAACATCATATCCTTGTCGGAGTTGTCCCAGTTCATCAGATACTACAACAGCCCGGTGTGTGATCTCCTGCATTACGGCCATCATAATAACTCCTCGTCTCTGTTTCCCCTCGTTGCAGCTCAGCAAACCATGCAGGATGATTTACTGATGGACAAAAACAAAGCCCAGCCTCACCATCAGCAAGACCCGACGCAAGTAGACCCTCCTCCCTCAACCCCGACCCCGTCATCGGAGCCCACTTCTTCTTCATCGGAGTCGGAGAGCCCGTCTTCGGCTTCAGCGCTGAACAGCAGGGACAAGATGCCGATGGAGTCGCCGATCCTGCCCGGGTTGAGCTATCACCACCAGCCGCAGTCTGAGACTGGCGGCCCCCTGTCCTCCCCGTCCTCCTCGTACGGGAGCACTTGGTCCACGGGAACCACTAACTCCGCCGTGGACGACAGCTTTTTCCAGGGAATACCCTCGGTGAACGGGACGATGCTTTTCCAGAACTTCCCCCATCATGTCAACCCGGTGTTCGGGGGGAATTTCTCCCCGCAGATGGGTCTGGCTCCCCAGTCCCAGCAGCACCAACAGCAAGCCCAGCAGCAGCAGCCCCCCCAGCAGAGGAGATCCCCTGTCAGCCCCAACCAAGGCCCCTTCCCCCAGAGAAACGCTTATCAGACCATTATGAATAACAGCAAAGTGTCGTCGTCTTCTTCTGGTTCGTCGTCCGCTTGGAATAATCACCAAAACGCGGCTTGGAGCACAGCCTCCAACCCGTGGAGCGGGCTGCAGGCGGGCAGGGACCCGCGCAGAGCGGTGGGTGTCGGGGTTGGAGTCGGAGTCGGTGTCGGGGTGCCCTCTCCCCTGAACCCCATCTCCCCCATGAAAAAGCCCTATAGCAGCAACGTTATAGCACCACCCAAGTTCCCAAGACCCGGTCCCCTCACCCCAAAGCCTTGGATGGAGGACAGCGCCTTCAGGACTGACAACAGCAACAACATACTGCCTTTCCAGGTAAAAGCACTCTCCAGGCCTTGGCCTAACTATATATTGCTTTAACCAATATTGAGCACCTTGGAATGTCGTTAGTTGTACCCATACTATCAAAATATGAATATATAGGGTGATTGTTTTCAATATATTCTACTCAAATATTAAGGGTAAGCATCAAAGACAGAAGGAAAAAAGGGCCTATCCTTTGATAAGGTCACCCTGAACCCATCAGTGCCATGGATTCATTAGAGGTCACTTTATTGTGGTGATTAATAGTCTATTCATGACATTAACAATAGGAACAAATTGCAATTTTATAGCATAAATCATACATATTGACACATTTTCATATCGTTTATTCTCACGTTTTTTCACAAAGGTTACATTTATGGTAGGTCTTCACTTTTAGTATCATGCTATTATATTTTGTTGATTAAGATGTGGTTACTTCAGCATTAAATACCTTATTTTCAGTGTGCATACACCATGTGACTTTGTGAATTGACAAATGGCCATCTGGTTTAGCCGGTAGCAGTCACATTTTCATCTGGCTCTCTGTCAGATTGTCAGATTGTGTGGTGTAGGTCAAAGATATCGAATGAGACAGCAAGCCCTTTAAGTATGACTCATCGATCTCGGCTATTTTTACGCATTCAAAGACAAACACATCGAGTCATTCCTAGAAATAGTTGCCTTGCAGGGTTTACTGCACTAAAATGGTTAAATTCCCTCTGCATGTGAGGTTTAAAGGACATATGACGCATTCAAGTGCTGCTCGTATGCTTCTGGATTCACACTGACAGGACCAGTCAGTACACTTTATTACAAGCTCACATGATCAAAAGGGATTTCTTGTTTTCAAAGATGTATAGTATAAGATAAATCTTTTTAACATATAGTAATTTACAGGCTATCTTGCCTAATTGCTTGAGTACTGTAAGCTTAATTGTGTTCGTTTAGAATTCATGGCAACCGTGTTGCAGTTATGCTCATTATTTAAAAATGGAAACACCATTACTTTTACAACTACTACAACAAATATGAATAACAATAATAATACAATCTGTCTGAAGACGGCAATAATGACAATGATAGTAATACATTATTTTTAGCGTGTGATTTGTTTATGTTTCTGATTATATTTTCAGTATCTTTTGTTATTTATGCTTTCTGTGTAATTACAATATTTTGGACAGTGCCTCAAGGCAACATCCACACTCACATTTGATTGGCTTGTGACCGCATAGTGGGTGGAGTTTGAATCTAAGATTGAGAAGGAAGGCAGGGCCAACCAATTTAGAATAACAAGAAGCCTGTACTAAACTATTATTATATTTTTTAACAAAGATATTTAACAAAACAAAAGTGCCAACATTGTTACATGGCCGTGTTTCTGCTGAAATACCTCTCGAACAAACTTTATTAATGGTCAAAATAGGCAAAATAGGTAACCTTCTTTATTAGCATAGCGGTATAGCCTAGCTAACATTAACTGCTGTATGTACTTGACAGCTAACAAGCAAAGTAGCATTACATGTAGATAACTCTAGTTATAGAAAGGGTTAGGTTGTTTAAACCAAATACAAAAAAATATTTTCGCTGTTGGGTCCCATAACAACATGGGATGAGCAATTGTTAGCAAGATTAGCATGATTAATGTTGACAAAGGAAATGGCAGGGATGTCCCGTTCATTCCTTAAAGGACACCTATCATGCTATATTTAAATGATATATTGTAGGGCCATACCTATATAAGGTATATTTATACGTTTCTGTTTTCAAAATACCAAACAGATCATGCATTTTAGCCATGCCTCATTTCGCTCTATGTGCTGTTTGCTGTCTAAGGGGCTGATTCTGTGAGCTGCAGCTGACCACGCCCCCCTGCAGGAGAGGGGAGCCGTGCTCTGATCAAGTCAAGAGGGGGAGAAAAAAAGATCTCCGTCCTCCGTGTTTTATTATATTATTATAGGCCTATAGAGTCGTTATTCATTTGTTTTAAAGCTCAATAAATAACAAAGAAGACCTTTGACCGGCACTTTTCTAATTTTGTCCGGAAGATTTAAACTTTAACGGACATCTTGACCGGCGAAAGAAACTGAAACTGAAACTCTGCTGCACGGTCCCCTCGTTCCTTGGAAGAGGCGGAGAGGTGGGTGTTTGTCATCTGCTGGTGGACTAACCGGAGAGAATTACAGTGCTTGCCTCGACGGGGAGGGATTGCATTGAATTAAAGCAGCGGGAGCAAACGCTTGCCTCGGGGAGGGAGAAAAAAAGCCACAGCGGAGAATAAACAGAAGGGTAACCATGGTAACTATGGGCGGGAAGTCTTCTTCGCTGCTTTTGTGGCAGACTACAGCGCCACTTACAGGCCTGGCATATGTACTACAGTGTCTCCAGCGCTTTCGAGCGGCAATGGCCGGCCGTGGCCCAACCCCACATTCCCCTGATAGGTGGAGAGTTGGCCCAATAGCCGTAGCGCCACTGTCCTGACGTCAGTAACGTGTTCAAATCTGGATCAGTTTTTATCAGATTCGTTGCAGCCCCTTTTTTAGAGATTTGGGTATGGAGGAAAATAGAGAGGGTTGTGTTTTCTGACACTTGGGGGGGGGGGGGGGGGGGGGGACACATATTCATGTATAAAAGACGTACAAAAGTGCATTTTGCATGATAGGTCCCCTTTAAATGCGGAATGAGATGTACAGTAGGACCGATAAACAAGAACATTATTGTTAACTAGTAACCTGCCGCATTGCAGTGTCTGTTATATCCCAATTTTGTTCCTATATTTCTGGTTTTATCCCCAAACGGCACACAGTGAACAGTCCCAATACTGTATGGCTTTTTCACATGGCTAGTCATGTGTTTCCCTATGTTTAGTTATGCTGCCTGACAAACAAGCCAACATGAAAAATAAGCTGGCTGAATGCTCCCCCCTTAAGTCACCACCGACTTACTTAAAAAGAAGCACTTGTTCCCCCGATCAAAGCGAAGACTGCGCAGAACGGAGCACGAGCCAAAACGTTAACCTGTTACTGCAGAGAGGCCTGCATGTGCAGATGAAACACAGCCTGGCGCAGGGTGAAATTCCAGCCAGCTTGAAACGTATAGCCTTTAGAGGAAATGATGATTGTCTGTGTCACTGAGGCCTCCTCTGGCTTTATTACACAGTTTCCTCTGTTGAGTGCCTCTATCTTTTTTCACAGACTTGGCCAGCTTACATCTCCAGTTATCACCAGGAGACAAGGTCAAATGGCCAAATGTCATGCTGCATAGAGTTGTTTGTTTGCTGAAGTGAAACGCGGGCACACAGCAGCGATTAAGTACCGGTACAGTCATCTATTCTCGCGTGGTTAAGTGTCGCCAGATGGTTAAAACATGACGCAACATTTTCTGGTCATTTGTTTGAGTCAAACGTTCAGTTTTAATTTGCTAGGAAAAAAATTCCATCTATCTGCTTCTACCAGCCAGTTAGATGAAAGTATGTTCCTTTCCTTCTCGGTTTCACATCTTGTAAATCGAATGCTATTGAATTGGTTGGATCAATTCATCATATTGCTTGGGGATCAATTAATGATAAGGAACATTTTCTCCAAAATAAGACATGATTGGCCCCAGAACCACAAACATGTTTAAAGGTCCCATGTCATGCTTTTCCGGTTATTACCCGTCCCCTTGTGTGTTATGAAGGTTTTTCTGCATGTAAACGGTCTGCAGAGTCACAAACCCTCAAACCCTGTAGCGAGTAAAACTCTAATACAGAAAAGACCTGTCTATGCTGCCCCAGAACGCCTCATTGGAGATTTTTATTTTTCTTCCGGGTACCAAGTGACGTAAGGGGCTAAGTGACGTAACAGCTACGCGGATTGGTCCAAATGGACCAATCCGTGGAGCTCCTCACACACACACACACACACACACTCACTCAGCCTTATTTTTCTCAGCTGCAGCTCCGCGGATTTCTCAGCCTGAGACAGCGGAACACGGCGAGGCCTGGCCCGGTCTCGGTCCGAGCACACACACAGAGTGTGTGTGTGTGTGTGCTCGAGCCGGGCTTCGCCGTGTCTCGCTATCTCGCAGACCCCACGCAGCAACCAGAAAGCGACACCAGCAAGCCAGCTCACACTGTCCACTCCTCACAGCAGCGAGCCCTGCAACGTGCCCCCAACACGGCACCCAGACCCCACGCAGCATTCTCATCTGTTTGTCCTTACTGGTGTCATTTTCTGGTTGCTAACGCCATTGTAACACATAAACACTGATGTTCCGCTGTAACGGTGGTGGACTCATCAGAACAGAGTGGGCGAGCTGACCAATCAGAGCACACTGGGCTCATAGGGAGGGGGGGGCAGGAGCTCCAACAAGGCGTGTAGGACAGAGAGTGAATACACATACTATACAGAGATGCTGTATGAGAAACCAATGTGAGTTTGGAAAATTGCACAATGTAAATCTATTTTAGTATACCTCAACAATGGAATTATGATCAGTAGAAATGGCCATGACATGGGACCTTTAAACAATTTTGAGGAGTGCACTTAATATGTATTCCCCTTTTAAATAATCAGAACAAAAGACAGGGTTTGGTAATGTCGGCAAGTACAGGGATCATGGGAGTTGTTGTCTGAATCGTCATCTTCCAAAAAATAAACCACAGAGGTCTCCTTGTCTTCAAAACAAATGGGCCAGGTGAAAAACTCCAGATGAAAACACTAAATGAAGCAGTTTCACGTTAAGAATTTGTGTCCTACAACCAAGATCTATAGTAACAACTTTATTTTTAAAATGTTTGCTTAAAACTACTTATTTAACAGCTTTTGGAAGACAAACCCTTGATTAAAATGACTTGTATGTCTAGGTCAGAAGGAAAAGTCAACAAAATTCATTTTTGGGACAACTTAATGCAGTAAAGTTACCTATTAGACCTTAAAGACTTATGGATGCCTCAGTGATGCATTCCTGGCTGTAGCCCACACTTAGCTATTTAGCAATTACAGCCATAATTGGGGAAGAGTTATCAC